CAAAGCACATGTTCATGGCGCTGGTGTCTAAAATGTGAATTTTAATTGGCAGAATAACTGTAGTAAAATATTATGACATTCTGAACTTCACTAGCCATATGCTGCAAAGGAGTTTAAAGGTTTGATATGGAAAACTTGAAAATGAACACAAATCCTTATCTTGAATCACAAAGATTTTTTGATGACAGAAACGGTGCAAGCTCCAGCTTATCATGCCTTCCCTTCTTACAATACATAATGTTAGGTACAGCAGCAAGCAATTTGCACACAGTGCAGTATACTATTAAAAGTGAACCTGTCTAACTTTCGTGGGGTAAAGATTGCAAATTGATCTTCTGAAATGGGAGATTCACAGTATTCACTTTTATATAGTATTAACTGCTCGCACATCAATTCAGTACAAAAGTTCAGTACTATAGTGTTTGATGGTTTATTTGAAATTTCTTCCTGCCCATGTCTTGATCACTTCATCTCTATTTGTAACCAGTCAGGACAATGAAGATGACGAGGACGTTCCCCCAGAGGTGAAGATGGAGCGCGAGAGGGAACGGCGAGTGGCTAACAATGCCCGTGAGCGTCTCAGAGTACGGGACATCAACGAGGCTTTCAAGGAGCTTGGGAGGATGTGCCAGCTGCACCTCAGCCATGACAAACCTCAGACCAAACTTCTCATCCTGCACCAAGCCGTCAATGTCATCCTCAATTTAGAACAACAAGTCAGAGGTCAGTCTGCAAGCAGCACGTAGTGGATGGGAAGCACAGATTTGTTTAGCTCTGTTAAATACAGTTATTTCTTGATACTGATGAAGCCTGTTTCTGTTTTCCTGTTCTCTGTCAGAGCGTAACCTTAACCCCAAGGCAGCATGTTTAAAACGCCGTGAGGAGGAGAAGGTGTCTGGGGTCGGTGAAGCACCCATGCAGCTCTCAGGAGGCCATCCTAGTATGGGAGGAGATGGCCACAATCCAGTTGGCCACATGTAACACCAGGTAGGTCTTGAGGATTTGCTAATGAAGTGATTGTTCAGAATGTAAACCAGAGGATTTTGTTTGTAGGCATTTATTTTACACATGATTACATTTTTAGCAGTCAGCATAATGTTTGTGGTCCTTTCTTTTCACAGATCTGGTGGTGTTTCCTTGGCTGTCAGAGGATGTGGCCTTAACAAATTTCTTCCACCCATTATTCTCAGTGTGTGTGTATATGTGGACATGTCTGTGTATTGTCCGTTCAAGTTTCAAGATGCACATTCACACACTCGTACACACATGCATACTGCCAAAACTGACACAGCCTGTTTGTCGCACTCCCAACCATGACTACAAGCTCAAATGTGAAGAACTTTTTTTTTTTTTTTTTTTTTTTTTTTTTTTTTTGCTTTGTTTTATACATTTAAGATTTTTTTTTTTCTTTTTTGGTTTCCACACGATGGAACGCCGGAGTACTTTTATGTCCTGCCACAAATTGGGACTTCACACACTGCCGAGAGGTGCTCTGGTGAAAGAAAGGAGACCTAAACAAACACAAATTGAATCAAGGATTTGTGCCTAATTGTTACATGTTTTCTATTTGACATTTAAGCAAATTGCTTTACATGTGAGGAACATTTATTGTAAGGGATTGCTTATGTGTATGAGCAATTATTTTTAATGTATGTCATTCCCAGCGTGATGGTACAGTCTTACATATGTTATGTAACCAAACCTATAGTTGAAGTTGAATTGTCTAAATTCAGTGACTTTTCCTTGATCTTATCAGCAAATTTTCGGGGAGGGCAGTGAAAAGGTCACAAGGGAAGGTCAAAGTTTTTACAGTTCAAATGCAGCTTACATGAAAGACGGGAACTCTGACCTAGAGGCAGTCTCTGACTGGAGCCCGGTCTCGTCCCACAAGGCATCTGGAGACTTGGAATAGAAGACTCCTTCCTTGAAGGTTATGAATTTTCCAAGTGGTAGAATCTGTCAACTACAAAACTGTTCTTCCTCTGTGTTGACCACGAATTCTAGTATTACTCCAGTAGTTCCTTGTCATAGGTTCAGGTTTTTGTACTGCTTTATATACTAAAGCATTCATAGACAAGACAAAGCACAGTTGTATAGGTTTAGGCTGGAAGTTAAGTGTCGACCTGTAGTGCATTTCAGTCCCTGAAAGTCCTGTAAAAAAGCCATTTGAGACTCTTGCTAAGTGATAAGCACCAATCAGTGCTGTTGCTTTCTTGAAATGGTTCACTGACAATGCCAGCAGACTTCACAGTTCCAAGTTTTTCCCCCTTAATCGATCTTCTGTAAAAGACAAAAAAATCTGGGTTCCTGTGATGGAGGGATCTCATCAGTACGCAGTTGTTGAAGCAGACAAGTCTTTGTGAAACGAAGGCTTTTGTTTTCCTAAGCGAGCATTCCCACTGAATTACAGCCCTTCACCTATCTCCTGAGTAAGTTTGTTCTCACGTTTCTTACTGAGAGAAGTGTGATGTGTAAATTCACTTCATACATTACTCTGATATGTTTCATTTTTCAAAATTAAATATATATAAAAATATATATTTTTTGTTAGTCTATACATTGTAGATTTTTTACATAAATGGCAATATTAGTTTGAAGTTTAGAGTGTATTGTAGATGAGCTGAATAAGGGGATTTGACATTTAAATGAATTTGTTGAAAAATTAATTCAAAATTGAACCAAGGGTCAAAAGATGATTGAAGACAAATATTGAAAGCGTTTGGTGTATCCTTTATTCCAGTTTTAGTTGTAAGGCATATCATCAGCTACCCAGATGAATTCTTTCTTTCCATTTGGGGGTATGTGGACAGTTTGTGCTGCAATCTTGTTAAAGTGGTCTGACTTTAGCAGTGAGGCGCCGAGGAAAAATGTGGGAAGGGATTTTTGTCTCTAACAGTAATTATGCAACTGGTTTTGAATGTAGCTACCATACAAATGTGGATCGCCTTCATTTTCAAACTTGTGTTCCTGGGTTTTGTCAGTACAGTATAATAGTTTTCATTTCACCTTTTTCTAATGTCTGCCCTCAACCAAGTGGCTCTGTGTGCAGCTCACTTTTTTAGTATCCTGCACATATTTTGGAGGCAGACGTCGGTATTTGCGTGTAAGGTAATGGATAATATGGAGAACAAAACAGTGTTATTGTGATGTTAATCCCATGTCATGTCATGTTTTGACTGCATTTTACCAACGTGTAATCACAAATGGGAGGTAGAGCATTTTGTGTGTTTTAATTTCTACAAAAAGAGATGACGAAAAAGACCTATACAAGTCAATAGTGTGGCCTTTTCATTCTCAAGACTTAAGATGTCATGATGGGAGAGTGATACCTTATCAGTGCCTGAACTTGTATTTTCATTTAAGACAGTTTTATTTTGTGAACCATATCATTTCATTTATCATGGAGATTAAAGAGGTACTTGTTCATTCCCCCACCCTCCCTTCTCCTAATGCTTTTTTCAATTTTCAGGAAGAAGTTTAAATGGTATAAAGAGATTTTCTTTCAGTGTATCTAGTTAAATAAATAAATGTTACATAGATCTTGTTTAGTTTTTATTCCTTTTTTCTGATTTATTCAACTGGATTATATTGTCCAAACTGCTGTTTTAGTTAAGGTCATGGGTCCAGGTCATGAGTTTTCTTTCTATCTACCCTATATTTCTAAATCACTTGACATAACAGGGTTCAAGAGATGCTGCTTTTGGCTCTGAATGTCTGCTTTTGATGCACATTAACATGTTTCAGTGTATGTGTTGCTTCACTTTCAATGTAGGGAGTGAGTTTTATTTTCCATAGTAGCTAGAGTCTAATGATTTGGAGCATTTTAAATTTCTGTATATCAGAGTGCAAGCCCTCTGCTGCAGTGACTTTCAGTATATTTTGTCTTCAGTGACAATTTTCACCCCTGACCTTTTACTCTTCCAGCTCTTTGGTAACATTGACAGTGACTTTTTGTGAGAAGTTCTGATTACTTCTTTCAAAAAGTTGTATTTGAAGTTTTGGTTTTTTTTACTATAATTATTATTACAAGATCAATAAGTGTACTGAATATTGTCGATTTGTTCCAAGGGAAAATCTGACTTGATGTCAATTAGTATTCTGTGAACATCCCATTAGCCCGCAAGCTATATACTCAAATTTTTGTTTGGGGGAACTTTATTTCTTGACACAAGTCTTGACAGACACAGTTTGCAGAAAAGCAACCGACCACTGCAGGAGCACATAATGTCAACAGAAAATTACAATATTATAATGGAAAGTGTTCAGTTGACGGGCTTGGACTTGTTTTGGTATAAGAAAGCAGTAATAAAACGCTTGCTTTCATCAATTTTGTCATATCTTTGTTGAACTAAAAGGAGGGGAGACTATTGAGTGTTAAATACATTCACAGGTACAGAGCCTGCCATCTTGGGAGTGAGGATGACTCCTGCAAGGTCCTCAGAGTGCCTCACTCAATCTCTCTCTCTCTTTTTATATATATATATATAAATATATATAGTTGAGAACTGTCCTGTATATAACAGTAATGTAGCAATAAATGTGCCATTTTTAATAACAGATTATACCTTTTCCAATGTCTGGCTTTTGAATATTGTATACATAAAAAGGAAAATAAAGGAAAACATTGTAATAAAGGGTTTATTGTAGTTCGGAAAATGAATTTGTTCATATTTTCCATTGCCAATAGCCGAATAGGGAACAAATGCATCTATGGCAGCTTTATATGTATGCAACCAAGGCACCACATTAAATCGAAAGCAAGATAAGATCTAATACTATTGATTTCATAAAGCCACTAAGCGCAAGACTCGAGTATGATAGCTGAATGGTTGCCAGAGACAGAGCACATAGATTCTTAAAAACATCTTTGCTGTAAACGGAGACCTTTGGAGTGGTGGCCTGAAACGACCCTGAGCTGCTGTTGCAGCCAGTGTAGGCCGTTGTTTATTTCTATCAGGCGTAAGAAGAGACAGCCCAGGGTCCTTAACAGCCATCAGCGAAACAACATTGCATGGAGTAAAGAGCAACAACCAAGAAGAGGTCAGGATGGTCCAGAAAATACTTAATAAGTTCGTCGGTGCCAAGTACATTTCTATTCTGAGAGCGTGGTAAGTTAAGTCGATAGGAGAGTTGGAGTACTGTACTGGACATTTCTTTTAGTCTTTTAGCCGCGTACAAAATGAGTCTGTCAACGCCTCCGTGTCCTTCTGTGTGACCCGATCAGTTTACTAGCCAACATTAGCTTAGCCTGCTAGTTTATTTACTACTGGCTGAACTAGCCGGGCTAGTTAGCATCATCCTCTTACCGAGTTAACAGGACAGCTAGTGAAGGGAGGCGTACGGATTCGTGTTTGTCACAGCCATCTCAGACCTGTCCGATATTTAACTGCTACTTAACCATTTCAAAATTATTCAAACATTTCGAGTCTGCAGTGATTTTAATAGTAAAATAATACTTTGTTAACATGTAGTGGAGCCAGTCTCACAGTCAGGATGAGTTGTTGATAATTTACTCAATATATGTATGAAGATGTGTGTTTATATTATGGATTGCCTCACAGTGAACTCTTCGCAGCTGTTTCTTTTAGTAGAAACATACTGTGTACACAGCAATATCATTGACCTTGCAAAATATAGGGGAACCACTGCTAACCTGAAATTTATAGAAATGATTTTTAATCAAGAAATATGTTGTTGAAAATGAGTACTAACTAATCAAACAGCCTTTTTATTCCTGTCAGTTAATTAATTGATCGATCCTTCCTTCGATCAGTATTTTATGAAAAGTTACTCATAATTGTTTCTTGAATTACATCAGTGCATGGATATAAGTTTCATTTGAACCAGTGTTCAAGTTGATTCCTTTGATTCTGGTCATCAGTAATCGCAAACAAAATGGACTTATGAAAATTGTAACCGCTGACTATGTTAAATGAAATCTGTTTAAGTTCAAACTGCTGAAGCACACAGATCTTCAGAGGATGAATTTGGTAGTTTTAAAACAAACGAACAACCTACCTAACAAGTTAATTAAGGAATGTTATTGTCCAAGTTACTGTTGATGTATGTGTATTGCAGTTGATTGATTGTATGATTGTTGCATTTCTGTCTCATTTATGAATCCCATTGGCTTTTTCTTTTTCCATCTAGGGTACCAAACTTGGCTGCCTGGGGAACAGTGGGTGGAGTGACGCTTGTTCACTTCACAGACTGGCGATTAGTGCTAGACTATGTGCCATACATTAAAGGGAAGTTCAGCAAGGATGAGTAAAATCTCACACAACTCTAAAATGTGAGTGAATCTTCCTTGTAACCAGCACATGTTGTAACTAAGCTTTCCTCCACACACTTTGTTTGTAATATTCAGTTGGATTGCTTATTAGTTTTAGCCACACCCATGTACTCCTGATAAGAAGTAGACAGGTGTAGGCCATGCCAGGTGCTTGCCCTGAATGTTCAAACAAACACTCTGAGTCATAGTTTGTTTTTTGTCATTACCTTGCTTACACCTGGCAGTTTGTTGGACACTCTACCCATGAATCTGCAAGGCTTTATCTTTCTGTCTAAACTACAGCTTTGCAAAGGGGTCAGACAGGTTTTAAAATAGAAATGTAGTCAGTTTATGACAAAAATAAAGCTTTAGAAAAGTTAGGTATTTAGCAGGACTGGGACATCAGATTTCAAGAGTGATGTATTTTTGTGATGTAGCAATGAGACCATGATTTATGAAACGATTAATTCAGATATTTTTGACTATGTACATCATTATTATTTGTACTAATATTATTTAGATATTTCCGAGCCCTGTTAATAGTTACACACCTTTGTTCTCTACACTTTGCCACTCCCATCACCACCATCCTGAAAACCCCTATTTGGATGTGGTTATGTCCGAACTTCACTTATCTCAGACAGGAAACAGGTTTCCAGTCTGAGAGAGAGGAAGGATGTGCTTTTCACACATTCAAACAGATGTGGTTATGTACATTTTTACTAATGAATGGGCTGTGTGTCTGCCTGCAGGACCAGAGCTTGGGGATGGGCACATGGGTGGATTGCTTACGCAACGCAAACTTAAATGGGATGCCCTGGCCAAACAATCTTTCGTTGAGGGCTTGTTAGGAGTTTGGACATCAAGATGCACTATGTATAAATGCTATTTTTGAAACAGTATTATTTAATGTGAATAAATCTTTAACTTGCCCCATTGTCTCCATTTTCCTGCACATTTCCAACTATTATTATGTGTGTAAACTGCTTGGTGAGAGGTTTTTTAATGCATTTTGTGTTTAATGCTTTATGTGCAAGTTCAGTATGTATGAGATATTATATATATATATATATACATATATATATGGAAGCAGCTTTAAAAACGTGTTTTTGTAGATCTGATCTTTGACTATTTGTGCTGTTAAAATAGTGTGAAAATATTTATTTATTAAAGAGGATGCATATGTAAAGTCTGATAATATAACTCATGAGTGCTGGACTACAAATATTCACAAAAGTATCATAAGCCTAGCTGCACACTAACAATACGCCAGTATCGGTCAGACATTAGACTCATTTTATCAGCCAGACTGCGAAATTTGCGTGGATAATGTCTTTCATTTCTCCCATCGAAGGGGGAGGGGACTGAGAGGAGAGGGGAGAAGGGATTTAACATAGCGAGAGGGAGAAAACGAGATAGTGTCTTCAAGATGGATAAAAACGAGTAAGTACATGATCTGATGGGTAATAAAACCGCCAACCAGGGTGTTAATTGTAACTGTAGCGTTTAATAATCGGTATGTCGTTTTCATAATATATGTGTAAAGTATGTTTATCATCGATCAGGCAAATGCACTCGGTGGTCTCGCATTTGCAAATAGCAACGCTGTGGTCTACAGCTAGGATGTCGGTCTTTTCTTTAGCATCACTGTGTTACATGGTTCGATTTCTCTGATATTTACAGCTAATGTTGAATTAAGCATGGAGTCGATACAGTGCGTCGACAGTGTGCTATGTGCTATTTTCGACATAGATTTTAACCTTACAAAGCAGATCATATTTTTCTGCATGGCTGTTATACACACAGAGTCTCTGTAAATACATGACATGCTTTTTAAAATGGTGTCTGTGTTTAATCGATGAGGTCTACTTTGTTCATTCATAAAAGCCGGCTTCAAGTCCGCTGAATGACAACGGTAGGCATTGTCGTGGTAAAACGGCTCCGTTTCACGTAGCTTACATGAAACCTTCACATTTTACTGAACATGCTGCAAGTCAAAGTCTTTATTTCACTACACCCAGCAGATTTAATTATTTAGCAACGTCTATGGTTGTTGTCACTGCATCTGCGTGATTACTATTTACGTAGCAATTTAATAGCAGTAGCCTAATTTATGTTTCCCATAGGTTAACATTGCTGTGGAGCTAGCACTCAGCGTCAAGGTACACAGATTATAAAATAACACTGCCGGTAAAACTTCAAAACAAAAGACTAACAACCAAAATGCTTTTTCACCATGGGAATCACCCAACTCTGTCATTCTAATAGATTGACTTGACAAAGGTTGGAGATCACCAAAAAAACTTCAAACCAAAATAAGTGAAATTCAACATGCGAGCGGAAGCATGTAGTTAACAACTAAAGCCAGTAGGTAAACTTCGAGTTGAGATTTTCCCAAGTCAAGAATGAACTTGCATGCTCAGATACACAATACAAGAGTTATTGTAGAACATATGATATATCAACTGTTTTGAATCCATGTAACTAGAGTCAGTTTAAATTCAAGTGTGAATATTGAATTGTGTAAATAGTCTTGTGTACTTACCTTAGACAAAAACAATAATATACATTAGAATATAATAAAACAATTGTGTAACATTGGCACAACTCTAAACAAGCCAGAATTCTTCCTGAATTATTCCTGAAGTTACACAACTAGACACATTATTTCTTCATAGAAATATCTGCAAAATACACAAATTATGTATATGGCTTAAGTGCTATGAATAATGTGTGTTGTTTTTGAATGTTCATAACTTTCATATTGTGGTGTATTATTTTTATTGTTTGAAATAGTTACTTACCTGTTTTCTCCTGGGGGGGCCTTGGCTTCGGTTGGCCACTGATCACTGGGTTAGTGGTTCTATCCGTGGCTCACTTTATCCCAGGTCGTGTCAGGAAAGGGACTCGTGTAAAAACCTGTGCCAAACCAAATATGCAGATGGTTATCTGCTGTGGCAACCCCTCATGGGAGCAGCCAAAAGACAACAACAGCAATGACATATGTCTGTTTTTTGCCTGCTTATTGTACTGCGAATATTGTGTCTTTCTCGTCTGAGGATAGTCCGATCTTATCTTAACAATATATTCATGACTTGCTTTGCTATTTTAAAAATTTGAAAATAGAGTGTACTACATTTAGTCACAGGGGCTGGACTGGGGTCTTAATTTTGTCCTGAGACTTTAGACCAAATTGGATAACTCAAACTTGGTTTTACCTCTGCCACATCTGATAACTTTACTACACAAACGGTATGGTTTACGCCAACACTAATTGTGCTTTTACTCTGAAGTCATAATTCCTTAACTTCCTGTCGTGTCCCGCCTGCCTCGCGGTGTCTTGACTTAGCCGCGCCGTCCTATGTTTTACTTGCGGATGTAGCCCTCGTGCCCCGGCGAGAGGAGCAGGTAGTGGTGCGCCCGAAGTCCGCGGCGGAGCGATCTGCGCGACGACAAAGAGATGAGATGTTGTTAGCAGCCGGGAGATCCCATTACAGAGGACGCATGTAGTAATATGGTCGAAACAAAAGCGTAAGAAGCGCTAGGCCTGTCGTACAAAAAATCGACACATTTCCTTAAATCAGTCTGCTAATTCGTAGTAACTTTTAGTGGATTTATAAACTACTCGCGTGGAAATGGAGAAGAAAAGATGGGATTGCACTGCTCTCCCCAAGGGCTGGAAAATGGAAGAAGTGACCAGAAAGTCGGGTTTGTCCGCTGGAAAAAGCGATGTCTATTATTTTAGGTACTGACACAGCGAGGACTTGCAAAACTTCTAGGTGCACAAGACACGAGTTGGAGTGTAATAAGTAGGGGGGTGTGGGGACGGTGGTCGGTATAAAGTTTGGGATGGGAAGTGGGAGGGAGGGGAGGGGGCCAACAAGGCCAGCCAGGCCAGCTCCTCTCACAGTTGTTGGGATAAGAAGTGTGTCCAACCGTGCAAGCTAGTAGTAGTAGTAGCAGCAGCTCACGCCTGGCGAGGCCTTGGATGAATAAAACACAGTGTCTTCTCAGTTTAAACTCTTCATTTGCCATTGAAGTGAATCAACAACGGCAGATTTGTTTTTATTTAGCAGAGGAGAAGAGCAAGATGAGGAACAGAGGCAAGAGAGGGGGGAGGCGGGTCGGTTGTATAGTTTGTGGTAGGCTAACTGTACAATCATACTGGTGTTAACTGTGGTGTGTGATGTAAGATGCATTTGCATGAGTTACTAGCACGTATCCACCCACAGTTGTGCCTTTGTTGGTCATTGCTCAGGCTAAAGATAATGTTGCTCACACAAATGGAGCTGCAATGTTTTCATTATGAAACATTTGATCAAGTGTTAGTATTTCCATGTTTACATTGTCTTCACTGATTCTCAGAGGCCATTTTTTGAGCTGCATATGCAAAGTTGTTAAATATGTTTAATATATATATAGATAGATCGCCATTCTACTAAAGATGTGTTCAGCTTTTAATAGACACCAGGGCTTAAGTCAAGTGCTCATCAAAGATTGCATCCATTTCACAAAGTGATGTGATTTCAGTGTCATTTCTCATTTGAATGTGCTCTGCTTCTGTTTGCTGTTGACTTGTTGCATGTTGTGGTCCTTGTTGGTAGTTTTCTGTCTGCTGTGTACGTGTTATGAAGTGTGACCTGTCCGCTTTGTTTCTCTGCCTTCATCACTGATCAGTTTTCGGTGTTGACATCTTCTGTTCTTGCCTGTTTGTTATTGTAAGAGATGATATTAATATAGTGGTTTCTCGTGTCCTAACACTGCCTTCCCCCCCCCCGCTCCCCGCCAGTCCGTCTGGGAAGAAGTTTCGGAGCAAGCCTCAGCTGGCCCGTTACCTTGGTAACCAGATGGACCTCAGTTCCTTCGATTTCCGTACAGGGAAGATGCTGATGAGCAAGCTGAACAAGAACCGTCAGAGACTGCGATATGATAACAACAACCAGAACAAGGTGAGATGTGAAGTGAGCCCACTGACTGTCAAACACATCTGATGGTGACCAGAACACCAAAGCTTTGTCCAAATTACTCTCTGTTTACTAAACAGTTCATTATATATGATGTTTTATTTGAGCATCATAGTTTTGAGTGTGAATTTTCTGTATTATTTAGTGTCCATGACATTGACTGTAGTTTTTGCAGTGCAATATTTCACATTTAAGGGATGCAAAAGTTACAATCATGTAGCACTAGACCTGACAGTGATTAAACAAAATGATGATGATTCACAAGTGTCTGAAATCTCAATTTACTGCACATTATACAGTAAACTATTGAGTGTCTATAATACAGGGAGGTGTAAATGAGGAGCCAGTGCAACCTGCAAAAATACAAAGTTTTTTGCCGGTTGCACTGGCTGTGTTAAAACTCTACTTTGGTAATATGTTAACAGCTCAAGCTCTACAGGTGACATACCCTTATATAAATGTTCAATGTAGACTAGAACCTGACGTTTAGTCTTAATGGAGTTGAGATTTTGCTCTGGTTGATAGTGGCAGGTGCACCCAAAAACACCTGTTCAACTCAAGTGTTGAGCTTGTGCCTAGAGTTTATTGTGCTAAGAAAAAGTTTAAAAACTGGAGAAACTAGTTCAGGAGAAGGTTTATCTGTTATGAAAATAGATTACATTAGTACTTAATTGAAATCGAATGTCTTTTTTGCAAGTTTTTTGACACACAATTGACCTATAGAGTCTCAGATGACCCTGTTAAGTTAAATGAGTAACTGAATATAACAGCAGATTATTTTTGTTTACATTTATATCCCACGAGCACAGCAGGCGGCAGTGTGTCGATAAAAGACAGAAAAGTAAAGTTATTTCTTTCTCCTTTCAGACTTGATTTTGTACACCGGATCAGTTCGGTAAACTTTTGAGCACTGACATACAGGAGGCCTGTACAAGCTGTGTAATCCTCTGAATGACATACGTGTCCTCTTACATACAAAACCTCATGCACTAACTTTTCTCTCCCATCCACCCTGGCCTCATCCTCCTTCCGTGTCTTTCATTTCTAAGGGCAAACCTGACTTGAACACATCACTCCCAGTCAGACAAACAGCCTCCATCTTTAAGCAGCCTGTTACCAAGGTTACCAATCATCCCAACAACAAAGTGAAGACAGATCCTCAGAAAGCTGTCGACCAGCCCAGACAGGTAAACAGCCTCTGCCTGTTGCTGTAAAGTCGTCCCACACAAGCCTGAGACACGTTATCCGATACTCTAACTTTTTTCCCCACAGCTTTTCTGGGAGAAGAAACTCAGTGGTCTGAATGCTTATGACATTGCAGAGGAGCTGGTGAAAACTATGGAATTGCCTAAAGGTCTGCAAGGTAATACTCCAGTTTAACATTGTTACTTCAGACAAAAAAAGTTCTTTTCTTTAAGTGACATTTTATTTAGTTTTTTTATCATGTCAGTATCGCTCAGAAGCAGTTTTTATTTTTTTTTTTCTATAAGATGTAACTAAAGCAAAGTGCAGTTACAATTTTGATGTTTCTTAAATGTGTCTGATAACCATCCTGTTGGCCCCTCAGGCGTAGGTCCAGGCTGCACAGACAAGACTCTCTTATCGGCTATTGCAAGCGCTCTCCACACTAGTGCTGCTCCCATCACTGGCCAGTTGTCAGCAGCTGTAGAGAAGAACCCGGGTGTGTGGCTCAACACGGCACAGCCGCTGTGCAAGGCTTTTATAGTCACTGACGAGGACATCAGGTGTGTGAACACTGAACACTGCGACACATGGATCACCAGTTTTTTGGTCCTGATAATTAATACAGATCCAAAATTTCAAAACCGGTTTTTGCGTCATGTTGGGGCCTGTGCCTGTAAAACAGGTGTGATGCATATCCGGCTCAGATCTTCACTGTGTGACAGTTTAAAAACAGGAAATAACTACTCAGGCAGTTTTGAATGATGTCATATCTGTTATCTGTTAATCAGTCCTTGTGATATTGGCTTGTATTTATCTGCCACATTTGAAATGAACTTGCCACTTTGCCCAAAGATTAACGAGTTGAGTCTGATGAAATTTTTCCGCAGTCCATAACAACAGACCCTGCTCTTTGTTAAAAAAAAAAAAAAATTAAAAAAAATACACCATCTGTTCTGTGCTGATTCAGTGGCTGTTATAGAAATCTGTAACTGCCAACTGTAACAGCTTCCTGTTGTGTTTATGTGTAGGAAACAGGAGGAGTTGGTGTACAGTGTGAGGAAAAGGCTGGAGGAGGCTCTGATGGCTGATATGTTGGCCCATGTCGAGGAGGCTGCCAATGAAGGGGAGGCTCTGAAGGAGGAAGGCAACGGCAGTGAAGACATGGAGAGCGTATAGCACAGGTTGGTTAGGAGACAATTCAGGAAATCAACAAATATAATTTTAGCATGACTTAGAAAATGTATGAGCTTGTAATTCTATTCCTCGTGTGGCTCACAGAGAAAACCAAACTCGCATTTAATAGTTAATTTAGATGGATAGTGTCTCTTGCTCTTTCCAGTTTGTAGCAGTTTCAAGCAGTTTACCAAATTTTGCAAGAACAAATGAAATGATGTAGTTTGAAATGCAACCTAAAGAACTAATCGTTGTTATCTTCTCCTGTAGGGTTTTGTAATGTCTGGATAGGTTTGTTCAATATCTGCGTGCACACACGACCATGAACAGTAGGAGTCCTACACCAGTCCAGCCCTGAAGAACTGTCCCCCAGTATCTGCATCCAGTTTAAACCTAAACCTGACTTACACCAGTACAACCGAAAGACCTGGGTCTCTAATGCGTCCATTCGTCATTAACTCCACTGGATGGGACTCGTTGACTTCAATGCCCATGAAATGACTCAAAGTTGATTAATGACTAGAAAGTTTTTTAAAAATTCTCTTAACAAGAAATGACATGAAATGAACTTGCAAATATTAAAGATAACTTATCTACAGTGTGTCAAATTCAGTGTTCGATGATGAGCGTATTTTTTACTAAAAGGCTTTGAATGGGTTTGTATTTTTTGCGACAATCATGTCAAATCCAAACATTTTATGTCTGCAAAAAGTCGATTTGGGTGCTTTTTTTGTTTAGGGCAGATTGGAAATGAATGTTTTGTATTTTTGACATGTCTCTTTCTTGATTTTTATGGTGCACTCCATGAGTAGTTTGACAAAACACACAGACTACCCTTTCCTGGTGGAACCAGTTGAGGTTTTTACTACACTGAGTCGAGCTCATTTGAATCAGCTTCAGGGCTAACCTGCAGGCTGCTGATGTTACTAATGCAGATGGTGTAGTTTGAAGCTTATCCATTGGAGAGGACTGAGTCAACTTTTTATTGTTGTAATTTCAAGGAAATATTATCTTTCATGTCAGCTTTGTTACCCTGTGAATCATGTGCAGTATTGACCAAAGAGGAGACATGTCATTTTGAAAGACGTTAAGGTTGTTGGCGTTTGTCTGTATTTGAAAAGTAAAAAAGTATACATGATGGAGCTGAGCACAGTGGAAAAGAAATGACTTGAAACCTCTTTCTATTGTACAACTATTACTGTTTGTAACTCGTCATCATTATATAGGTGCTTACTGATGTTGTGAAACACTGCTGTTTAGTGCCAAGGCTTTGTTTCTCTCACAGCTTCAGTCTATAAGGTTGTTTTTTTTTTGTTTTTTTTTTAATGTGTCAATGTTACCACACACATGCTGCCTCCTCGAAAACCCACGCACAAAATTGGTGACACAGCAAAATGACAGTTAAAATTTAGTTTTCATGTCTTTTCATTTGTTATCTGAGGAATAAGGATTTTTTTTTTTATCCCTCTATGTCAAAGTTTGATGGTGAATAATGTCATTCACATCATTAAATTCCCTTCTCAATATCAGCAGGCTGATTGCTGAAATGAATTTGATTGTATTACATTATTAAAATGAGTCAGTATGTCACTAAGTCTGCTGCTAGTGTTTTCTTTTTCTCTCAAAAGCACAACATTCTCTACATTTGCATTTGTAACTGTGGTTAAACTTGTATTTTGATGTATCTCTCACCCCAGATGTAGGCTAGGAGCACCCCCCTCCACCCCCACCCCCACCTCATCCACACCTGGCAGTAATTCTTCAAACTGCACCTTCAAATGGACAAATCCCTCCATCCAATCACCGCATCCTCCTACAGATTAACAGTTAACTTGACTGTCCTGCCTTTATGTGAGCCTGGACAAAGTGCAACATACTGTCACCTGCACACACAGCGACTCTGCAGATGAGCAGAGGAAACCAGCTGTTCCTTCAGAGGGGTGTCTATGTGTTACCCTTTCTGACGTTCTCAACAATGTCTCCCCACATGCTTTAAAGTAGTTAAAATGGCAACACTGGAGCTATACAGTAAGGTAAGACACTGAATTGAATTGTTTTGGCTTTTTTTTTTTTTTTGCATTTTTAAAACGATGCACCTTTTATCATTGTCTGATGCAGTGTGTCCTTTTAAAGAAGAGTAATGATTATGATATAAAACAGCATTGCTAATGGAGTATTGTTGTGTTTATATGTCTGTTATGTGTTTGTCAGCTTTTCCTAGTTATGTACATTTTCATAAATATGTTTTAGTGTCCAAATCATTAGCTTTCCTGATTTTTGTGTGTTCTTGAGCCAATTGGATTTGCTGCAAAAACTTTGGCATTTTTTTAATCCTTATTTCTGTAAACTTGGTGGTCAATAATCTATAAAATTGTAATTATCAAAGTGTGGATTAAAGCTTATTTGTAAAACTGACACATGTAAGCGAATAAGACTTGTTGGGCGTAGATAATGGCTAATCCATGCAGGCAATTTAGAGAAGGATGACCAGTGTTAATTTTTAACACTGTTTAGGAGCCTTTTATGCTGATGGACGACAAATCTGTTGTCAGGGTGGGGCCAGGGAATGTGACAAGCACCTCAACAATGTTAGTCAGAAAATAAAAAGAAAGCATATGATGCAGCATACGCTGCAGTGTGTTCAACCTGCACCCTGTATCTACTTCCCTTTTTATTATTCAATGTGATTTTTTTATTTTTACAGTTTCACAATATTTTGTTCCTTTGCTAGGGAGAAAGTGTGTGGATTGCCGACCCAGATGCAGTCTGGGTATCCGCCCAGCTCCTCCAGGACTACAGTCCTGGGGAGAAACAGCTACTGCTACAGCTCTCTAATGGAAATGTGAGACACACAGGACCATTATATTGTCCAGAAATCAATGTGAATGCTCAAGTTTCATAGTTTCATAAAATGCCACCATGCCAAGATCCATCTCCCTCCCTATATTGATAGGAGGTTCATTACCCGGTGGGCTCTCCCTCTGATCTCCCACCGCTGGGGAACCCTGACATCCTGGAGGGGGAAAATGATCTAACAGCTCTCAGCTTCCTCCATGAGCCTGCTGTCCTGCACAACCTCCGGGTTCGATTTCTGGACTACAGCAGCATCTACACGTACTGTGGTGAGCACCTAATGGGTGAAAGCAGAAGACTGTGAGATTTGAGGAAATTATTGTTGAGACAGGGATGACTGTCACAATAAAAGAGGGACGACATACATGTAAGTGAGATGTGCACTGGCAAGCTGCCAGAGACAGGCAGCTCCTGAGTGCTTCTGTCTGCACAATTATAGCTCATAATGTCACCTAAATTACACATGGGTCAAAGGTTGAGACATGGAGGTGACGCCCTCACTACCACTGGTTGTAGATGTTACTGCAAAGTAGATCATGCATATTTTATTTGATAAAGGGTTTCTCAAACTCACACTGTCCATTTTGACAATTTTTTTGTTTAATTTTATCTAATTTTGTCATGAAAATGGACATTTAAAAAAGCTATTTAACATCCCCTCAAACTCTTGTTTTTTCTGACCTCACCTTGCTGCAGTGATGCACAGGTGTACTACAGGTTGGCTTGTGGTCAGAGGTGAGGCATACTTGAAAGAAAAATAAAATAAAGATTTTCATCCTGGTGTTAAGTTATATTTTAAGTCTTAAATTCCTAAAGATGGGACCGGTTGTGTATTTATATTCATTATAATTCTGAGAGCTTGGTTTGATTTTGACCAAACTGAACAGACAAGGTTTAGGAAACATTCTTTTCATTTGGATTTGTAGTTTTGATTTGTAGTAGATTTGTAGTTGTAGAGAATGCTGAAGTTACTACTTGTGTTATTCAGGTGTTTTTACAAAAATTATATGTTGAAATTCTGTGCAATATCTTTAAGTCCTCACAGTCATGCTGATAAGTGTTTTCGTGTGTTTTCCTCTCCCTCCAGGTATTGTGTTAGTGGCCATTAATCCCTATGACCAGCTGCCCATATACGGAGAGGAGGTGATAGATGCTTACAGTGGTCAGGACATGGCCGACATGGAACCTCACATCTTTTCCGTGGCAGAGGAGGCTTACCGCACTATGACCAGGTCAGAGCTCAAGCAGTGTTATCTTAACTGGGAGCTACTGTGAATGTTTCCTGGCCTTTTGCAATATAATGGTGACATTTCATATACTCTCTTACTAATGGGGGTATTTTAAACCTGCAGCGACAGGGATAAGTGTCACTTCGCTACATGGGGTATGATAGCCACTCTTCTTTGTGTTCGTAGGGAAGAAAAGAACCAGTCTATCATCATCAGTGGGGAGTCTGGCTCAGGGAAAACGGTCTCAGCCAAATTCACCATGCGATACTTCGCTGCGGTCGGAGGAGCAGCACAGCAGACCAGCGTGGAGGAGAGAGTTCTGGCTTCTAACCCTATCATGGAGGTGATGGGTTGTGTTAGTTACGCTCAGTTATGTTATATAAACAGAAAATTATAAAACTGTAGCTACAATACAAAATAAATAAAAAACATAAATCATTTTGTATTCTTGTCTACAGTCTATTGGGAATGCTAAAACCACTCGAAATGACAACAGCAGTCGTTTTGGGAAATACATCGAGATTGGCTTTGGCAGAAAGGGGGACATCATTGGGGCAAACATGAGGACGTATCTGCTGGAGAAGTCAAGGGTTGTCTTCCAGGTAAACTCTCATTCACTGTTTAGGGGAAAAAAATTCACCTGGGACAAGACCGACCAAAAAGACAGAAGTAGTATGTCAAATATTTATAGATTAAGTGTTCATGATTGTTGTTGTTGTGTGTATGTAAGGCATCAGCAGAGCGAAACTACCATATCTTCTACCAGCTGTGTGCCTCCAGAGAGCTGCCTGAAATGAGATCCCTCAAACTGGGTGAGACTTAATCACAGGAGACCCCCTCCCCTCCTCAGCTTGTTCTCAATAGATAACCTTGCCCACACTGTATCCATCCTCTGTGTCCCTATTATAATGTATATTATCACGTTGCTACATGCAGTCTGAGAGTGATGAAAGCGATTTGCCTTTCTGTTCCAGATGCACCTGAGCACTTCCGCTACACCAACCAGGGAGGACAGATGCAGATACCTGGCACTGATGATGTGTCAGACCTGGAGCGCACTCGCAATGCTTTTACCATTCTGGGTAGTTTTATTATGTATATTTGAATTCACACTCGCACAGTGTAAATTGCAAGTGTTCAAACCAATGTTATTTAACTGAATCGTCTCCTCAGTTGTGATAAATAAATAAAACAAGAGCGTTGGTATATTTGTCAAACTTGCAGGTGTGCAGCCTGACCAACAGATGGAGCTCTTCAGGATCCTTTCAGCTGTTCTACATCTGGGAAATGTCAACATCCAAGCCAGTGGAAGAAGTTCAGACAGGGGTTATATTGATGTAAGAAATGTTTTTCTAATGCGCTCTATGTCTCCCCCTCCACTTTAGTTATTCTATAAACACGTGTCTCCACATGGCCGTCATCCATCCATTTCCTCTATCAGTGCGTCATACTGTAGCAGTTACATATGACTCCATGTCTTTTCTCAGGCAGACGACCGCTCTCTGGCCGTCTTCTCCAAGCTACTAGGAGTTGAAGGACCTCAGATGGCCCACTGGCTGTGTCATCGCAGGCTGGCTGTAGGGGGAGAGATGCTGGTCAAACCCATGTCTGGTCAGCAGGCGATAGAGGCCAGAGATGCACTGGCTAAACACATCTACGGCCAGCTGTTTACATGGACTGTCCAGAGACTCAACTCTGCCCTGCGCACACAGAGGGGGCAAGTCAAATCCTTCATAGGGGTGCTGGACATCTATGGGTGAGTGATTTGGCTTGGTGGTATTGGATAAAAAATGGTCTGCAGTGTATAGTTGAAATCTTCAGTGTGTCTTCAAGCTGAACTGACAAGTGTGTCTCTTGGAGCAGGTTTGAGACCTTTGATCGGAACAGTTTTGAGCAGTTCTGTATAAATTATGCAAATGAAAAACTCCAGCAGCAGTTTAACAGGGTAAGTCATGACACAGGCAGAGGTGTCCCTCTGCCCCTCTGTGTTTTGGTGTGTTTTTTTATTGACAACCAGAGGCATTGTTCTTGCAAGTGCCAGTAGCAAAATTCTTTTCAGTGCATGTCACTGAACGTTAACATGTCGTCTTCAGGAAATCCGCCCTGTCACCTCTTGCCACTAACTCCTATGTTGTTTAGTCTACTAATAATAATACCAACACAGATGGAGCCTGCATGATTTTGCTTCAGTGTTCGTGTAAATCCTGTCTTCAGTTGTACAGGTTACTACACACTTATGTGTCATCCTCTCTTTCCTTATTTTTTGTGAACATTTTTCAAAATCACACCTAGTCACAAAATGCAGGAGGAAGTGCTGCTCTGTCTTGGCCTTCCTATGGAGAGGGAAACAAGCACAGACCGTGAGACAATCTGTTCTCATAGCCAAGCTGTCGATCTTCTCAAACAGCTCTTAAGTTTTTTATCGTGAGGAATGTTGATGGGTAGAGTTCTTGCATTTTTTTTCTTGTTTTCTATCTATTTTGATGTTTAATATTTTCATTTTTCTAAATGA